TGCATAGACACGTATATATGATATATAAAATGGGTCACGGGCCTCAACTATATAAGAAACTAGAAGGTAGACCCAATACACAATATGCACATAGCACATATACTCAACACCTACAACATCGAACACAACTAACAGTTGAAAACTCCATCGCCAAGATTGTTGATTCAACTATAATTGCAGCATCACCTTCCATGTAGGTATCTGGGTCTGCAGCCGCCTCAAGAGCATTCATGTTGTCTGATTCAATAGCAATTTTGGTGCATCCTATATTAGCAGCAAGGATCAGCCTATACCTGATTGCATTAATTTCTATCTCCCGAAGGGACATAAGCCAAAACCCAGCTTGCCGCTGCAACGAAATTCCCTTGGTCATCTCTTGCAACGGCTCCACAAGCCCCGGCCATGTATCAGCATGAAAAGACGTGTCCACGTTGATTTTCACAATACCTGAGTCAGGTTTCCTCCATATCCGGTCTATCTTTCGGCTTGGCTGGTTTGGTGAATTTGCTCATACAAAATTTGTAGTCAGTACCCTAATCGACAAGGCCGTTCTGTCACGGGTCTGTATGGTTTCCCCTTTCACCGCTTGTCTCCGCTGCCACCAGATGTACCACATGGTCACTAGTATAAGCTAGAACAATTTTTACATGAAGCTCGAACATTTTTCTCATGATGAGGCTGGAGATGCATTTAATACCTTCCTATTTTATGAAACAAATCACATATATTTCCTGATGCTTTTATTTAAGCTGCTACGTTTATCTTTTCTTTCGAACATGGGATCCAGTATTGCTTTATTGGGAGGATTGTTTTATACTGTAATATTTATGTTTAATTACCGTGTTACCTAATAAAACATGCATCCACTACAAATTTTCTTGAAGAAATAAATACAATAAACTAATAATCATAAAGATTGCAGGGAAAAGAAAGAACGGAAAATAGAGAAACGGGCCAATTCCTGCCCCCGAGCTGGGTCGCTGTTTCCCGCTGGGCCTGGGCCGGCTCGTCGCCTGACGTAAGTCTCTGTTCTTTCACCAGCCCTCCCGTTCCCCTCTCTCTCCCTCTCTTTCCTGGCGGCGCCGCCCTCTTCGTCTTGCCCCTTCGCCGGCGACGAGCATCCAACCACCTGGTACGCCCTTCCCTTCCCTTTCATCTTTCCATAACCGAGCACCCGGAACCCTGATGCAGATATTTGTATCCGGATCTGACACAGTTACCAGCACAGCAGCATTGTAGAGTACCCACTAACTTCGATTTCTTGCAAAAATTATGACCCATGTCCTATACTGGATCCGCCCCTGGTTTACTCCGCAATTTCTTCGCAGCGTGCGGGCCTCAGGATGCAATCTTTGCTCCGGAATGTCTGCCGAGCCGGAAGCCGCGGGGCTGCGGCGAGGCTCCTGGAGTTTGCTGCTCCTGTAGCCACTCAGCCGGGGGCTACGCCGCCATCCTCGGCCATCAAACACCTCAGCACTTGCGGGTTCACTCCTCCAACTGGGGTAGGATTCTTGTCCTCTTTTGTGTCTTCTTCGAATTTGTCCAGGTCATGTCATATGGATCAATTTCTTTGCGTGCAGAATCGGTTCATTTCATGTCATGGTGTGACTGCTTCCTCTGGTTTCTGCGCGGAGGTTCTCATGCCGAGGGGTTTGTCGACGGTGGGAAGTGCTGAGGTTGCCTCGGACGAGGACGATTCCAGCTCCCCTGCGGTTGAGCACCCCCCACGCATCAAGTTCAAGAGGCCCGACAAGACTGCCAGGCACATTATGAATGTAAACTTTGTGTTACTTGCAGGAACTACTAGTCTACTAAGTATATAACATCCAGTAGCCGCAATGTTACCGCAAAAGCATAAAACTGCTTGTTATATTCTTTGTCTGGGTTTGCAGATCTTGAACAAAGAGGCGGTTGATAAGGTCCGTTCGGAGAGGGAGATCCCTGATGTGCAGCCTGGATGCATCGTTCAGATGAGATTGGTATAGCATTTCACATTCCTGCTTTAGCGCTCTCCGGATACATTTCTGGCACTGATCCTGTGAATAAACAGCAAGTTCCTGAGAACAAACGGCGAGAATCTACATTGAAAGGGATTGTGATAGCAAGGCGCAATGCTGGGATAAATACAACCTTCAGATTGCGTAGATTAGTAGCTGGTGTGGGAGTTGAGTCCGTCTTTCCACTGTAAGTCAAACCAAACATGTGCTCTTCTACTCCATTGTTTTTTGAAATATTTATACTGCTTTGTCTTGGAACATATCATGCTGAGATTGAAGTACCTCTTGGTTCTGTTATATCCTTTATTCAAATCTGGCAACAATTCAACAACCACTAAATGTCATGTTCTTAGTGGGCTACTTCTCCCTGTCCGTTAGGATATCAGACAGGGAGTTCTTGTCCCTTGTTTGTGAGTAACCTTACAATATCCTTTCTCTCAAAAAGAAAATACCTAACAATATCCCCGGATAAATTAAGGCCAGTGAAACTGTAGCTGTGTAATTCCTGTGTGAGAAATCTAGTTGGATGTTTGCAGAACTGAGAGACTGCTCACTGCTCAGGTAGTAAAGTTTTTGTCATGCTGGTATTGCTGATGTTGGGGGAGAGGCCCAAGGGCTAACTTGTGGGAGGACTCTCCCCTATTTGCTACTCCCTCCGTTCACAAATATAAGATGTTCTGGATATTTCAATATGGACTACATACAGACTGAAATGAGCGAATAAACACACTAAAACGTGTCTATATATATCCGATTCAGAAAAAAGATAGAACATCTTATATTGTGAACGGAGGGAGTAGTTGTTTTCCTCACTCTTTCCCATCTCCTGCATTTGCTAGTTTTATCTTGTCACACTCCCATCCCCTGTCTCCTGTTTAGGCTAGATAATCAACAGCCGACTTCCTTATGTTCCTCTAGTTTCTCATTTGCCGATGAGAACAATCAAACTAGATTCATCTGGTCCTTCCATTTCTTGTAAATCCATGCATACTATATTCTGGTCCATGCTATGGTACATACTTAGGTAATGACCCTGAAATAAGTTAATGATGAGATGGCACAGCTAGTTTCTGGTACCAAGTAGGCACATATGATCCCTTTGGCTATTTTGTGGAATGATTGACATGACTGCTTGTGCCCTTTTAGCTTCCTGTTCGAAGTGGAGGTTGTAGTTCCATAAACACGTCATCCGGTTATGTTCAAATCCCAATTGTTCTGACCTTGTGGCCTTTTCTTTGTTTGTTCTGCATTTTCTGTGGAAACAAATACATTCAAAGAATGCTACAAGTAGCAGTTTATATGTTTTTTTTCTTTTGATTCTCAGGATCTTTGTGCTCTGTTCTGCAGTTATATGTATGTATTCAACTTTTAATATTTAGACCTAGCATAACTAGAATTAAACTTGAAAGATATCGACATATGATTACATATAACCCCTGCATCTTTGCCAGCATATATGATACTACCTCCGATCCACTATTATAATATTTTCCAACTTTTTTCTGATTTTGGTGTATATAGACTCATTTTAGTGTGTTTGTTCACTCATTTCTGTCCATATGTAGTCCATATTGAAATATCCAAAGCATCTTATATTTCTGGACAGAGGGAGTACTAGCTAGATTAATTTGAGCTTCCCATTATTTATGATTTTTTAAGTTTATTGTTGTTTGAATGGCCACATGTCTTTCTCCTAATTAGCTATCAAGTATTTGCTTGGATTATATTTCTGATGCGACTTTCTCTTTTCCATTCAGTTACTCACCAAACATCAAAGAAATGAAGATCTTGGACAGGAAGAAAGTCAGGAGAGCTAAGCTGTATTACCTGAGAGACAGGATGAATGCACTTAAAAAATGAGGCTTTCGGCTAGGATTTTCCCCCTGTTGGATCAACCAGCATGGTTTCTGACGGAGCGACGGTTGCAGTCTGAGAATCGCACCTATTTGGTCCCATCTTTGTAAAGCCATAGTTTGTACTTCTCATAGTGGGGATGAGGTCTCTTGCTTGCCATTATTTACCTAGTACGTATTTGCCTTTATCATAACAAAGCTGGAATATTTGACGCATCAAAGTGAAACTATTATTATAACACGCTTCCTGCCATCGAGATTACCGTTCTCATGCCAAATCTGTAAAGTGTTTATTCACATTTCACAGAAATGTCTCTCAGTAGCAACCCGCGCATCATGCAATGCAAGGATGGAAGGGGCAGAGCTGCTGGGTGCACTTGGGTACATCATCTATCTGTCTAGCTAGATGATACCCTGTGCGGTTGACGCGGTAATCTTATTCAAAGAAATGCATAATTAGGTGCTACACAAATAACTAAAACTAATGAAATTAAGATGTAACAGTATTCTCGATTTACCCTTCAAAAATATTAAGAAAATATAAAGCATATAACAAAATGATGTATAAAGGAGAATAAAAATTGGATTGCAGTTAAGAGTGACATTTCTAAAAAGAGTGAAGGATCACCTATGTGGTTATCCTCCCAACACATATACCGTGTCTATGAGAGCACAGTGTTTAGTGCAAAAAAATTACGGATGACTTACATGCATGAACCGATGATGTGGCATGGCAGTGCCAATGGATATAGCTAATGCAAAAAATATAACTTGTAACTTATATGCATAGCTTGCTGACGTAACATGGTTGCATGGCTAGAAGAAATATAGTGGGTTGTAGATATTTAGCAATAGAGGAAAAGAGTGTTGTTTCTAATAAACAAGTGAAGGTCAACTGTACAGCCATACAGGTATGCTCCAAGCGCCCAACACACGTACCATGTCTAGGAGAACACAAAATCTAATGCAAAAAATAATAACCAATGACTTACATGCATGAAATGATGAGGTGGCAGCGTTGCATCGATATGCTAGTGGAAAAAAAATATAACTTATAACTTACATACATGGCTTGTTGATGTGGCATGGTTGCATGGCTAGGAAAAATATGTAGTGGGTTGTAGTGCATGTCACAATTTAAATGCAATACTGATCTAAAACTTACTTAGAATGCACTAATGCATGTTGCATGGTAGAGGATTCTCATGCATAGATCGAACGAATGGTGGTGAATCAAGCTAGTAAATCTAATAGCCACAACAATTTTGATGATGCGAAAGCATGCATGTTAAGAACATTAGAAGTAGGGGGGATCACTCTTTTAGCTATATATAATATAGAATGGGATATAGGATACACATTTGAATTTGGGTGCAGTACCTTGGCACGTTGGCATCTGATGTAGCATGCGAGCGGGTGTGGGAGTTTGTGCATGTAGAACTTTTCAATAGGAGTGCATGTAGGGAAATAATTATCATATCGTTGTTGATAGGATACCTAGTAGATTAACCACGGGTTCATTACCTTGTTCCTTGTAACCATTATAACATCATGTAGACAGTGCTTAGCTTGCTACGAAGCAATGGAGTTGGGACCACACTAGTTGACAGGTTATTATATTTGGATAACTATTTAATAACAATTTAGTGAATGAATCATCTGGGCGGATTGGCTTTGATTGGGTCTTTGAAACTTTGCAGGTTGAGACTGTCATCCAAGTTCAAAGGGATTATACGAGTTCCATGTAAGTAGTTTTCACGTGTAACCGCGATTCATATGAGCCCTGTCGAGTAAGTTATGGGAACCTGACCTGGCAGACTAGCTGATAGTTAGAATGAAGGTTGTATGGGTCTGCCATGTGGTATGGGCTATTGCTTCCCAAAAGTCTCATCTTTGTCTATCTGGCTACTCCAGTGGAGTTTAGCAGCAAAAGTGTGTGACCAGGCCTTGCAGGTAAAGTACACAAACCTATGTAGCCTGTATACACCGATCACGATTAGTCGTGTCCTCATTTATGGACATTTTGAGCAACTCGGTCGGGAGCTGTCTGGAAGATATCATCACATTTCTTATAACTAACTTTGATGGGTTAAACTATGGGACATGCCTCTGTTTGGTGACACTGATGGTGTGATGCTATTGGTTGAGCTAGTGAATTGCAGTTCTAGGGCTATTGTGTGATGCAGTGGGCCAAGTATGCTACAGATCTGCTGGAGTACCCAATATGTCCTATGTATAGAGTAGATCCAACTATATACAAAGATTGGAAAATCATTTATTGCTTTCTAGAAAAGAAACCAACCTACACTTTTCCCAAAAGTATGATTTAGGTCTGTTATAGTTTCCGGTGAAAGTTGCCAATACATTCGATGTATTAACCCTTGTGGCTCTAACGTATCATATTGCTGTTGCGGAACACAGTAATATCAAAAAAAAATTCCTACGCACACGCAAAATCCATCTAGGTGGTGCATAGCAACAAGAGGGGATACAGTTGTCTAGGTACCTGTAATGCTCTGAGACCGTTGCGCCAGGTGTCTTTCAGTTATTCGTTGTTGTTGCCTTGTCATTTGTTTGCGTGTTATGCATTTCATATCATGTCATCATGTGCATCGCATTTGCATACGTGTTCATCTCATGCATCTGAGCATTTTCCCCGTTGTCCGTTTCACGATTTGACACTCCTATGTCCTCCTGCGCCCCTTTTGCCTCTTTGCGTGTGCGAGTGTTAAACATTCTCGGATTGGACCAAGATTTGCCAAGCGACCTTGGTACACCACCGGTAGACCGCCTGTCAAGTTTCGTGCCATTTGGAGTCCGTTTGATACTCCAACGGTTAACGGGGGAACCGTAAAGGCCTCATGTGTGTTGCAGCCCAACACCCCTCCAAAGTGGCCCACAACCCATCCAAACCCCCTCTATCCTCTCGGTCGTTCGATCACGATCGCGTGGCCGAAAACCGCACTCCATTTGGACTCTCCAAACTCCCCCTACCTATAAATAAGTGTCTCCCTCCGAAATCTCGCGGATGAAACCCTAGCAAACTTCCTCTCCGCGCCGCCGGACAAAAACCTCGCTGCCCGGACATGTCCACCGCCCTCAGCCACGTCGCCCGGAGCAATCCCGGAGCGACACGTCAGCTCCGCCGCCTCCCGCGCCCAACCGCAGCTTGCCACGTGTCCCGACCGCTCCTCTCCACCGCGCCGGCCCGTCGGGCCCATCGCGGACCTGTCCGGCCCGTTTGCTGCCGCCGCGTGCCCGCTACTCGCCGGCGCTTCACCGGAGTTTCTCACCACCGCCACCGCGCCGGACCTCGTCTCCACCCCAGCGCCTCGGCATCCGCGTCCCCGCCCTGCACGTCAGCTCCGCCGTCTACCCGCGTCGGAGCCTCGCGCCTCGGGTCGCCGTTCATCGGAGAACGCCTCGCCGGAACCTTCCTGTCTCGTCGTCGGCGCCTGCGCCAAGATCCGCCGCCGCCATGGCGTTCGACGTCGTCCTCCGCCTCGGATCCCGTCGCGTTTGCTCTTCCGGTCGCCCTGGCCTTTTGCCGGAGTGCCGCCCCGCCTTGCCGGAGGAGCGCCGCCGCCCCTGCCTCCCTCGATCCAGGCGGGATCAAGGAGGACGACGCCCTGGGCCTCCTCCCGCGTCTGTGGGCCGCTGTGCCTAGATCCGGCCCACCGCATTGCTGCCACGTCAACTGGGCCAAGCCCACTGGGTGAGCTGCCTTAAGTCTCGTCCTGAGCACGTTTTCCCTATTCCCCACTCGTCTCTGTTTTTTTCTTCAGAAAACGACTAAGTCCTCAGATCCTCTTAATTTGTGCCCCTCTTCATCATGCCATAACTTCATCACCGTAGCTCCGTTTCATGCGCATAATATATCAAATTGTTCATCTGGATGTATTCTTCATTTTGTTCCATTGTGCCATGCTTGTTTGAGTCTATCTTGATGCCCAAATTGTTGATGCAAGAGTGCTATAAAATGTTAGGTGCCGATTCTTATCAGTTTATGGACATTTATCATTTTTTCCATGATTATTGTGTGCTGCATATGGCCTTGAGCTCTACATGTGTTTTGGGCTATGCCATGCCATCTTTACAGGGGTGTATGTCATGTATTTTTGTGATCAATTTGGTGACTAGCACATGCATGCAAAGTAGCTCTCGTAATGTTGCTGATTTCAGGGACTTAGAATTTCACTAAGTCATTTCCCTGCTGTTATTTTAATGCCATGTATTCCTGTTGCTTTAGGGTGATCCATGCTTCTTTTGAGTATGTTCAGTAAGGATGATTTTGCGATATTGTTATGCTCTATCCATACATGCCCTTGTTTGCATTTATGGAGTGCCCTAGCATGACTCAATATTGCTCTACTTTTGCTATAAAATGTTCTTGCCAGATTGTTTATGTGTTAATCAATTTTGCCAAGGTTGTTGTAGTTGATCCATGCATGCTATGAGATTGTTCTTGCCATGTTTAGCTTCTTCATCATGTCTTCTTGCTGGTAGTATGCTTAGTTTGTCATGCAATGCCTTGTGTTGAGTGCATCGAGCTCACAAACATGCCTTTCATAATTCTGTTTATGCCATGTCCAGTTTTCTGCTAAGTCTGAATCTATTAATGAAACTTGCTAAGTTTACATGGGTGCCATCATATCTTATGATCCTTTTTGGCTTATGGTCAGTAAGAGACTTTTGTTATATGCTTTGAGTAGATTCATGCCATGCCTTGTTTTGCTATGTTTTGATCCTGTAGCATGTTGTTATCTTGCTCTAAACATTGCTTCCTGATGTTAATTCCTGGCATGTTAGTATTTTCACAAAGTCTGTGATGTTGTTATCTTTTGCCCTTTTGCCATGCTTTTTTGAACCTGCTCTTGTGTGTTTTAGCCGTAGCTCAGTGTTCATCTTTTGTCAAGCATCTTGAGTAGATCACTTCTATGTGCTTTGTTGCTATGTTGGGGTGCAGTAGCTTAGTTTCTTGTTGCATTCTAGATGGCATCGTGCTGT